CATGACGCCTTCCGTCCACCTGTCTCTCATAAGTGGGCGGGGCCAGAGAGCCAAACACAATAGTTTGTGTGTGGGCTCTTCTCACTGCTACGCACTTCTTTCATTTTGGGGGTGGGGGGAGGGGGATGTTTTGATTTTTGGACATGAATGTTTTGACTTCTTGGGGAAGTTATTTATTTTTTATTATATTTGCTTTATAAATAATAGTGTAAAATACTAAAAAGCACAGAAGAAAACCCCCACATCATCTGCAGTCATGGACTCACCATTAGTTAATGGTTTGGGTACATTCTTTAAGACTTTTCTATGCTTAAGTTAGAAAAAAAATGAAAACGTAATTACAGTGTATGTTATAAACCTCTAAAATTATTTTTAATAAGTAAAATATGCCCAAGAACATCATGAGACGATATAAAGAACATGACCAGCTTTTTAAATTCAATGTATCTTGAACCTAGAAAGTGACAGTTTGTTATAATCCCACCCCCAGAGATGACCACTATTAAAGCTTGCTGAATATTCCTCTAGATCAGTGGTTCTCAAACATTTTGGTTTCAGGACCCCCTTCTACTCTTAAAATTTGAGGACCCCCAAAAAGCTTTTGTATATGTAAATTAGACGGAAGGATGGATGAGACGGAGGGAGCGGGGTTGGCTGGTTGGATAAAGGATGATGATGTCAACAAGTAGAAGAACAAACATGGGAGAGAAAATGTTGGCATAAGACTGAAAAAATAAGTTAAAATTTGACCTTTCTAATAACCCATCTCATAACCCATCCTGCCTTCCCCCAGACACCGACTCTCTCCACATCCATCGCCACCCGAAATGCTTCTACTCATCGGTCAGCAAGGACCTTCCTCCGAGAAGCCGTCCTAATGCCACAGCCTCCACTGGGCGCCTCTCGTCCATGCGCTTTAGTGTCCTCATGATGCTGTCTCATGACGTCCCTCTTTATCTGACCAACATCACTGTATGGTTCTGACTGTGTCCCATTTGTCCCTGGGTCCTGTGGACCCAGCACTGCGCCCAGCCCAAGGCAGACTCTCGGCACACTGGTTAAACGAATGAATGAATCCGTGAATGCATGGCTGCCATGCTAGTAAGGACACATGAGATGCTTCACCACAACGGCTCAAAGCCAGACGGTGGGCAGGCCCTAAATAAAGCTGTTTCCCTTCCTGCTTCGACTTCTGTCTGCTTTTTACCTTGGGCCTCTGCAAGCAGAGAATTCCCACCTATTAATTATTCTTTTGCTCTGGGGCACCTGCTGCTTGTCAGCTTCATGCTGAGAAAATCCAAAACAGTATGCCACAGAATGAAATTTTTAATTAAGATTACACCTTCTCTTTCCCGAGGAGAAAAAGGCGCAAAATCAAACACTGTTCAGCCTGGCAGCTGTGTCCCTTCCTTCTCATGCCAACGTTGTGCAAAGCAGGGCTCAGCCCTTAGAAGGAGCAAGTCAATCAATCCTGGGGGCGGGGCAGGGTGGGTGGGGCGGGGCTTTACAGGGTTTGTATTTGCACACCAGGGGCACTCTTCTAATTTGAAACACTGGCAGCAACTCACAGGCAACTGCGCAGAGGAAATAAAAAAAACAAGCGCAGAGGGAAAGCCCCACGGGGCCCCGTGAACTGCTCAGGCTGGGTCTACAGGCTTTGTTGAGGGAAACGGGGTAACACAGGTGAGGGTGTCCTCAAATTTACAGAACTTGTATTTTAGGTGGTCACACGTCGTCACCACCGGCCCTGCACCTGACAGCGCCACATGGCGAGAGGAGAAAGAGCACCGGCTGTTTTTAAACTGACTTCCTCACTGTCCCTACACTTTACCACTTACCTGCTAAACACGTGGTTTGCTGAAAAGGAAATCGAGGCTTTCAGTAAAAATCCCAGTCGGGAATTAATGAAAACACCAAGTTGCTGACCAACATCCCGTCTCCAGGCAAGATGTCGAAGGTGTCTGCTCTCCACCCTGGTGGCAGCACGAAGCATGCACTGCCTGGCACCATGTGAGGGACCGGCGTTGGGAGCCATGTGGCACCAAAAGTAACTGGTCACCGATTGTCTGACCAAACACAATCTCAGAGCGCACGCGGCATGGTACTACCACTCATGAAAAGAACACAAACACTGAGATTTCTTTCCTCTGACAGGCTCCAGATTTATTGCAAACATGGCATAAAGAGCCCATTTGAGGCTTGCGATTGTGTCACTTCACGGCTGCATGTGAGAGACAGAACCAGGGGCTCCGCAGGCGCTGACCTAAGGGGCCACCTGTGTGGGGCATTGGACCGGGGCAGGAGACAACGGCAGGACTATGGACACACAGTGGCTGGACAAAGGGACACTTCTGTGGACGCTGAGAGCTCCTTAGCCAGGAAGGCATCTGCTGAGGTGACCGAGAGGACGGGGGGATGAATGGCCGGCTGCCTCCATGCCGGGAGCAGAGCCAGCCATCCCGCTGGGCTGTCTGCACGCAGGTCAGGGGACAGGACGGACGGAGGGCACTTCCTTCCTCCGGCACACCTGCAGAGTCACTCACACTTCCGTAGCCACAGATGCGGTCAACCCCTTCGGCGAGTTCAAGCCGACTTTCAGAGTTCCCCTGTGGGCACAGGAGCCCACGCTGCCTTTGGATGGAATCCTTCCTGCAGCCTGGGGCACACACTGCAGACAGTTACATGCTGCTGAACTGCCGGCAGGAAACAAGTCTTTGGTGGTTAGCATCCTCGGCGGACACGTGGGCTCTGGCAGGAGCCCCCACACCTTTAACTGCCCAAGCCGGGTACACACCAGAGGGCTCAACACTGTAGTTACACCAGCCACACACTTCAAGTGCTCCAGTCACATGGGGCCAGCGGCCACCACACTGGACAGCAAATATGGAGAACGTGTCCAGAAAGTCCTACAGGCAGTGCTGGTGTAGACAGAAACACACGGCCGGGTTCGAATCCCAGCTCCGCCCGTCCAAGCTGTGGCTCCCTGGGCAAGGTCCTCATGTGTCAGCGGCTCTGGCTCGTGTGTGTGGAGTGGGGACGATAACCAGCTCCTGGGTGAGCTGTCAGGACTAAATGAGACACTTACCACGGGCCCCGCCCAGGGTAAGCGCTTTGAAAGTGTCGTCATCGTCCTCACGGTCCCCAAAACACCATTCCGGTGCTTCACTCCGACTGCGGAATCCACGTGGCACTTCTGTCTCACGAGCACAGATGTGCAACTGGCCCACCTTTCTGAAGAGCTCCTAGTGACGACAGCGCCAGCTTTGCAGCCTTCATTTGACAGGTATGTCCTGAATGTGGCCTACTGGGTTCACACCATGCCAGGTGCTGTGGTGACAAAACACAGACGGCGGAGAGGTGGCTGTTCCGAGGTCAGTCTTGCAGAACCCGGGCTGCTGAAACGGGCCCGGGGACTGACAGACCCTTTGTCCCCACGAGAAGAGAAACCCGCCGGCAGAGCCCAGAGCGGGCTGAGCTGTAGTGGGGCGAATGAGGGGAGGAGGTGAGCCCAGCCGACAACACCCGGCTGTGGCAGCGGGGACGGGCGCGTTGGGTGTGACAGGGCAGGACAGGGACCATGCCTCCCAGTTCCAGGCCTCCCCACATGTCGTCCTTGTTTTAAAAAAAAACAAACAAAGATGTCTTTCCCGGTTACAAAAGTCACATCCTCGGAAGTTGTACACATCTCTTTAGAATCTGGGTGTTCCTTACTGTGCAAGCTCATCAGCTCAGAAGTGACAAGCCTGCGTTTCTGTCTCCGCCCCACGTCCAACCAGTGGGAAGAGGTATCCAAGGGCCTGTGGGGGCCACTGGGCAGACAGGCTGCAGCTACGAACGAGTGTGGACCTTGGGAGACCTGAGCAGGCCCAGGCTAGAGCCAAAATTCATCAGCGGCGTGCTGACACGGAAGGGCTTACCTGCCCTCCACTCCTAGTCGGACCCGTCCCTGTAGAAGCTACACACACACACAGTGTAAACACATACACACAGACACAGTGTAAATACACACACACACAGTGTAAATACACACACACA